TTGTAATAGGTTATTATAAGCTATTGAATATAGTTCCCTGTGCTATACAGTGGGACCTTGTTTTTTTTCTGTTTTTCATGTAGTAGTGTATATCTGCAAATCCCAAACTCCCAATTTATCCCTCACCCTCCCTTTTTCCCTTTGGACACCGTAAGTTTGTTTTATATGTCTCTGAGTCTTTTTCTGTTTTGTAAATAAATTCATTTGTGTTATTTTTTAGATTCCACATATAAGTGATATCATATGATATTTGTCTTTCTTTGACTTACTTCGTATGATAATCTCTAGGTCTATCTGTGTTGCTGCAAATGGCATTATTTCATTCTTTTTTATTGCTGAGTAGTCCAAATTCATAGCTTTTCTTAATTGCTATAGAAATACCGCCTATTGGAGTTCTTAGCCTGGAGTTTCTTTGGGCCCACAGTGATCCAACTCAGTGGGAAAAAATAGGATTGATCTGCATGAAAAAAAAAAAGAGGTTTTATAGATGCTTGTAAATACTGTTGTACAGTATCTGAGGAGTTTGGGAGAAATACTGTGAGGCCAGTGAGGAGGAAGAAGGCACTAACCCGGGAAATGAAAAACATGCACATTTCAAGTAGCTTAGAAGGCTGTGGGAGGAGCAATAGACACTTAGAGATGATGGAGACTCCCATCCCACTTACATTTTCTCTAGAAATATGGGAAAACATGGTAGATATTTGTAAAATAAAGATTAAACAGGAATAAGTGAAATAAGAAAGAAACACTCGTTTCCTGCTGTTGATTGAAAAAGATAAAAAAAAATAACCTCAAAGTTGAGAATTATGTTTTATTCAGTGGACATACTGAGGACTTAAGCCTGGAAGACAGCCTCTCAGAGAGCCCTGAGGGACTGTTCCAAAGGGGTAAGGGAGGAGCCAGGATACATAGGAGTTTCTGCAACATAAACCAGGTAGTTGGAACATTGAAATGTTACTGTTAGTTAAAGAAAGCCAGACATCTCAGGTTAAGGAATTCAGTGCTTTTCTCTGTATGGGAAGATGCAAGCGTCTAGGCTCATTGAAACTATTCCTTTCGTGTGCACCTTAGCTGTCTAGGGCCAGTATCCTGTTCTTTCCCATCCGGATTCCCTCAGGGTGCACAGTCAGGGAGGCTGCAGTGGCTGATGGCTTGATGGCCACAACATCCTTTGTTTACTGACATGGCAGGTGACTTTCTTCATCTACAGCATTGTGCTGAAAACACACGGGAGTTGTCCATTAGTCTGGGCTGAGAGAATGATAGGGAAAAAGCAGGTTTGAAGATTAATTTCAAATTTGAAGTTCCTCTAAGTCAACAAAAATAATCAAAGGGTGCTCAAAAGCAAACTAGAAGCATACTTAGGAGATCAAATTTGGATTAAGGAAAAGATATTTGATTAAAAATGTTTTCTTTATCTTTCCCTGGTTGTGAGGGTCTTAGAAATATATTAGAAAAATGCAGCACTAACATCTGTTCACTGTACCCTTGAAGTCATTTTTCTGCTTGTCTCAATACAGTATCTGCTCTTCTGCAGGTCAAAATATCTTTGATGTTAACTCATACTCTGATATCTCTAGCCATCTGGCTTTTCTAGACTCAATAAAATTGTAATGAAACATAAAGGATGAGAAGTAGTGGTCTCTGGAGATAGTCAAAATTGTCTTATTTGGGTGAAAGTTTGAGACATAAAATGCTGAAAATATTTAAGTTTCCAAATGAACAGGCACCCATCCCTGCATATTGCAAGTTAAACCTGGAACATTTGCTTTCTTCTGGCCAGAAAAAGATCCACGAATGACTATTTATAGATGTAATAGTCTGGTGTGACGGCCATCTACCACGAGATACTCATTCTCCAGCAAGAATGTTCAAGGCGTCCAGTTGCTTCCCAAAATTAGAAAGGTTCTTTGAATTTAAAATGAGGGCTACTTACGAAGGAGTCATAAAATCTATAAAAAGCTATCATTCATGTATCTTAATCAACAAACCAGGAAGCCACAGCCACAGCCTGAGTTCTAAACTTGGAAGCCCTGAGGGTTTGCAGTGTGACTGGCCAGGCTGCCTTTTCAGCATCCCACCATTTCTCTCTGAAATAACTGTACTCAGAGGATCATCCAGCTCCGAGGAACATCCAGAACCCAGAGGTGATGAGACAAAGAAGTGTTCTAATTATCAGTGAGCCTAATTCTGACATATCAAAAAGGGACCATGAATGTTTAACCACACGAAAGAATTTGCAGACGTCTGTCCTTTAGGAGCTAAGCATCCCAGCAGCGGATTGTCTGGTCCTACAGTTTCACTGTGCTGCCTGTTTTTTTGTCTGTTTCCCTCAGTGCAGTTTAGAACATGGCCTTCACCTGAGGCACATTTCTTTCTCCTGGCGATGGCTTTCAGGAACCTTTCCCCCTAGTCCGTCTCTGACCGTGACCCCCACTGACTTCACTCTCTTTCCTCTCTCCGTGGCTCTTCTTCCTCCTCCCCACAGCCCCCAGGTGAGTGATCCTACGGGGAAAAGGATCCTCTAGTTATTTGTGTCGGGCTCCCTACCCATCAGCCCTCACTGACCGCCCCATCATTCTGGATCAGCTGGTCCTTCCTGGGGTCTCCCTGGAGCCACGCAGCTTTGCCAATCTCTCAGGGAGCCTCATCTTGGTAGTGACACTGGTCTAGACCCCTTTTGGTGCAGTTGAAAAAAGTGCAGTAATTCAGAGGACGTTTTTACTTTAAAAATGATAGGAAAAGGTTTTAAGAAATCACTGAGTTTCTACATTCTGGATTTTCATCCCGACTTAACCACAGAATTGCTTGGTTGGCAGAATTTCTGGGCACTTCTTCCTGGATCCTTTTCCTTTGTCCATCCCGGCCTGGGGTGGATGCTAGTCTTTGATATCTGACTTTTTAGCCCTTATGGATTCCAGGTGACCCTGCGGCTGGGTCCAGAGATTTAACTATTCTTGATTTTGTTTTTTTGTTTGTTTCATCCCTCAGCTTGATTTTGGTCTGTGTTTCTCAAGAGCTCTATGAATTTTCTTATTCAAAACAAAACAAACACAACAACTCAACACTTTTCTTGATTACCTACTTTAACCCAGGCGCTGTGCTGCATGGCGTAGGGCATACAAAGAAAAGCAAGATAATTGCTAGAGTAGCTCACAGCTTAGTGAGAAAGAGGGACAAAACCCCACATAGTTGCAAAGGAGTGGGGCAAAAGCTTTGGAAGACATTTGACTCTTTTTTTTTTGGATACCCAACATCCAGACCTCCTCCCTATTCTTGAGAATCTGCCAAAGATGCATCTTCATGCTAGACAGGGCCTTCCTTCACCTCATATAAATCATATGAATTCTTTCATGTCCCCTAGAATAAAGATACTGAAAAAAAAAGGTACGACCTACAAGTTGAGAGGTGTGTTTTATTCAGCAGACTTTCCGAGGGCTCGAGCCCGGGAGGCGGCCTCTCAGATCGCTCTAAGAGGCTGCTCGGAAGAGGCAAGGGAGGAGCCGGGATATATAGGAGTTTTTGCAACAAAGACCAGGCAGTTGGAACATCAGAGATTACGTTAATTAAAGAAAATCAGATATCTCAAGTTAAGGAATTTAGTGCTTTTCTATGTTTGGGGAGGTGCCAAAGTCTGGGCTCATTGAAATCATTCCTTTGATATGTACCTTAGCTGTCTAGGGCCAGTATCTTGTTCTTTCCCATCCTGAGTTCCTTCTGGGTGCACCGTTGGGGGTGGCTGCAGAGCCTGGGCTGCCTGCTTGTCTCCATCCTGAGTTCCCTCTCTCCTTTCGGGGCGGCAGTAAGGGCTGATGACCTGATGGCTGCAGCGTCCTTTGTTTACTGATATAGCTGGCAATATTTTTCATTCACATGACCGTGCTCAGCCAATCCAATGCTCCTGCCTAGAATTTTGAATTCTAATGGAAAGAGATAAAGACACAGAGACTATTGAGAAATGTTTTTCAAGTGGTTACCTTGGCGTGGAATCCAGAAACTGCATTTGGTTTTAGCCTATTTACCAATGTCCTCTAGCGTGGCAGGCACCAAGTATTTTCTAATATTTATTTATTTTTGTGTTAAGTCATCCAGAGTTTTGTTTCTTCGTGGGTTTTTTTTTTTGCGTTGTTTTGTTTTGTTTTCATTTTTCCTTGAAATCAATTGATAGAGAAACTAGTAGTGAGGAGTGCAATGCAGACATCAGATGGTCAGAGAGATGGGAAGAACTCATGTTGCGGAGCTAGGATGATGTCCCAGGGCAGTTTGGCTCAAGACTCTCTGCTATAGTCCATCGCTTGGAGGCCAGCTATGCCCAGAGGTGGATTTGCCCTGAAGCTATTGAAGCTTAACCCTCAAGGACCCTCTTCTGCATGCCCCCACCCTGCCCCCAGGCCCTGGGAGGGCCGGAGGGATGTGCTCACATGGTCATATGTTGTAAAATTTGAGAAAGAAACTGCAGTTTGTTACGACTGCTGTCTTTTTACTCTTGACTTCTGGATCTCACGTCCCCAGCTGTCAGGTGACTTCGGAGGGGCTGTGTGCATTTTTGAGATCCGGCTAAGGGAAAGCAGAGCTGGGGATTCATGCAGGTAAGTTTACTGGGACATGTTTCTGTGGTTTACAGATGCTCTGCTGACTACCTGGTATAGTGACACTGACACCACTGTCCTGGTTGTAAGCCTTAGGGCCAGATGCTCTGTACCTGTGAACGTGCACTGCGGACCCCAAAACAGGAAGCATAGAGGTGTGCGCTGTAGAGGTGTGCGGTCAGGCCACTCTGGGTGGCTGTTCTCCTGCTCTCTGTACAAACCCTGTTGGACCAGTGCCTGCTTCCCCTACACCCTCCTCACAGGCTCTTCCTATGTACTTGCCCCCGGTCCCAGCTAGTGACTGCTGTCAAAAGGGCGGTGAGGGGCGTGCCCCTTCTGCTGGTTTTCCTGGTAACAGTGAGCCAGCCTGAAGTAATTCCCCGCTTAAGTGGCAACGTCCTCTTCCCCCAGGGAGCGAAGACTGCTGCTGTCCTGCCTGCCTTCTACCGCCCATGGTAGGGAGTCTCCCCAGGACCTTACTTCAGACATGGAAGCCCCTCCATCTGTTAAACCTCTGAGGTCTCTGTCACTGACTCTGGGGCTCTTTCTTCGGTCCTGAAGGTGAGTGGGGACAGGCCTCCTGGGCCTGTGGGGTGCAGCCCAGCAAGAGGGAAACAAAGTTTAAGGTGGGGCCAGAGCTCCACAGGGAGCCAGGAGCTAGTCTGTGGAAAATTCTTCAATCACCAGATGCATATAATTAGAAGTGGGGACTTCAGTTTTCATAGATGTTTGGTCAAAAATGAAAGTTCACTTTTGTTCAGGCATATATTTGATGATACAACAGATAGAATTATAAACGCACCACTTACCTTTTTCTTTTTGAAGAAAAGAAACAATAAATAGGTTATCAGAATTCCCATGCCTTTAGGGCAAGACTTGAGAAGTGTGTGTGAAGACATTATGTTTAACGCAGGATCCTCTGCCTGAGACAAGCAAGTGGAGAAGGTTGATTTACCAGCCTTCATCCCGCATCCTCATTTGGTCGAGGGTTGCCGCACAGGTGGTCCCTTCCTCAAAGTTTTAGGGTTTGGTGTGAGGCAGAGAAGTCCAGCCAGAGCGCCCAACCGGTATTCCACATACTGGCCCACAAACTTCAAAGATTATACAAGATTAATCTCTGTGATACAGGAAAAATGGGTGAGAGGATGGCTGTGTCCTACATCTCGGTCAAGTCCCTGTCATGTGCCCCACCAAGTGAGGGTCCTTGGCTCCAGGCAGGAAAGAATTCAAGAGTGAGTCATAGCAGAGGGCTCCGGCTGAACTAGTTATGTTTAACTAGAAAATTTGTCAGAAAAATAACCACACTCACCTATGAAGCACCTCCTTTCTTATATTTTATGGGGATTAAAATTTCATCTTTTGAAATTAGTAGAGTACATCATTTGTAAAGGGCCCATTTCTACAGTGTAAGGGAAGTATCTTTTGGCTGCAGTGTGAAAAGAATTAAATACATGTGGTTCAGTTAACAAGTGTGTTTTTAGATGCTTAATAATATGTTTCATTTTTTCAAGGCATTTCTTAAATAGAGATATAACTGACATGCATCTGTCATCACTGGAAACCTCTTACAGTCCAGCTCCTTTCTGAATTGCTCCTGTCAGCAATGAGAGGAGCCCTGTGGGTTCAGGGGCCCTTTTGGGAGGGTTAGTGTGATGAACTCTATGTAGATTTAACTTTTTCTATAATAGGATAGTCTGTATGATGTAGATCTGGAATTGGCACAGTTTTTCTACGAAGGGCTAGATCGTAAATATTTTAGGCTTTTTCGGGCCACCTTATGGTCTCTGTTTCTCCCCTTTCCCCCCACTTCCACATACACCCCACCTTTTTCCAATTAAAAATGTACAAATCTTTCTTAGCAACAAGATCATACAAAAATAGTCTGCAGAGTGAATTCGACCAATGGGTCATTGTTTACGACCCCTGGTATAGATTATTACATTTAGTGAGGGTAGGTTGGGCTGTGCTGCAGTAACAACTCAAACTCGAAAATCTCAGTAGCTTAACACATTTAATATTTATTTCACCCTTACCCGGGGCAGCTGACCCTCCTCCATTTTATATCATCAGCCGTCCTCAGAGTTCCTTCAGAACAGGGCTGGCACTGGGATGAGGCAGGTAAGGTCCCTGGGGGACAGATGTTAAGAGGCCGTCACTCTCACGTTCGTATGGGTCTGTCTTGGAAGGAAAAAGGAGAGCAGGGGGAATCCCATGAAAAAATTTTTAAAAAGACATTTTTCGGAACAGTTTTAGATTTGCAGAAAAATTGAGATGCTACAGAGTTCCCCTAAACCCTGCACCCAGTTTTCCCTGTTACCGGTATCTTACATGAGTATGGTACGGTTATTACAATTAATGAATAAATAGTGATAGTTCGTCAACTAAAGTCTATAGTCAGATTTCCTTACTTTTTAACCTAATATCCTTTTACCAAAGAATTTCAGGATCCCACATTATATGTAGTTTTCATGTCTCTTTAGGCTCCTCTGGGGTTGTAACAATTTCTCAGGCTTCTCCTTTTTCTGATGACCTTGATAGTTTTGAGGAGTACTGGTCATGCATTTTGTACAATGCCCGTGTATTGGATTTGTCTGGTGTTTTTCTTACGGTTAGACTGGGTTTATGTGTTTTGGGGAGGAAAAACCACAGTGGCCAAGGGTCATTGTCATCACATCATATCAAGGGTGCGCACATTCCACATGACTTACCACTGTTGATGTGACTTTGATCACTTATCTGAGGTGTGTTTGTCAGGTGTCTTGACTATGAAGTTACTCTTCCCCCCCCTTTTTCATGCTGCACTTTGGAGTCACAACGTACAGCTCACACCTAAGGGTGGGGTCTGCTCATCCTCCCTGGGGGCGGAGCATCTACATAAATGATTTGGAGTTCTTCTGCAGGGGAGGCATCTCTTCTCTCCTGTTTGTTAATTTATTCACTAATTCATTTATGTAAGTGTGGACTCTCACATGTTTATTTTATATGATCAGTTATGCCTTACTTATTTTGTGGCTCGAATTGATCCAGCTTTGACCATTGGGACTCTCTCAGTTTGCTCTTGTGTCCCTGTGATATATGTAAGAACTTCCTTCATTTCTGGTACAACAGTGCCCTTCAGGCTCATATTATCTGCCCCAGTCTTAGAATCAGCCATTTCCCCAAGGAGCCAGGGTTCCTTTTATTGAAGAAACCAAGATTTGGGTGTTAGGTTTGCTCATGGCTACTGGGGTGTCATTGCTTCTACATGCACAGGTTTTAAAGGCTTGATACTGAAGAGACTTCATAGATGGGTCCAGAGACTAGAGGCATTATCCTCATTTGAGAGCTTGTTAGAAATATACAGTTGCAGGCCCTAGACCTACTGAATTCACATCTGCAGCTTAACAAGAATGCCAGGCGATTTGAAGGGACATTCAAGTTTGAGAAGCACTGGCTAGAACTCAGTCCAACACCCGCAACTGCAAGGGAAGCTGGAAATGTGAGCTTAGGGAGAGGACATAACGTTGTCAACGTATCGCACTCATCTAGGACAACCACGCACTCATCTATTTACTCAGAATTGGTGATTTGTTTGGATAATTTGTGCTTAAAGCATCTATTTTATTTTCGTTTTTGCTCTTCCATTGTATTTTCTATGTAAAACATTTGTTTATTTATTCAAATACTTATTTATCAAGTACCTACTACTTTTCTGGCACTGTTCTGAGTACTAGGGTTGCAATGTGAACAAAAAGGTAAATATTCCTGCCTTCATGCAGCTTACAATTCATGTGAAGGTGAAGGGTGCAGAAAAAATATGTGTATATTAGATGCGGTAACTGTTATAAAGGGAAATAAGGCAAATTAAGGTGTGGGGAATAATGGAGGGGATGGGGGAGGTTGCTGTTTTAGATAGGATGGCCAGGTCTTCTAAGTGGAGATTGGAGTGATGTGAAAAAGTGAGACTGGCTGTTGGGACTAGGCAGTGGTTCTCTTAAAAGCCAAAGGACACATTTAGATTAAAATGTTAAATCTCAGCTCCAGAGTCAGGTATATAAATATTCAGATGTTGAAAATTATTCGACCATAGACTGATTTTTATTTATTTGTTTATTTTTCCATCAATATTTTTGACAACACACAGATCCTGCTACATCATCATCACCTCTTCTGTCATCAGTGTACGTGATGATTTTTTTAAATGTATGTGATCTGTGGATGCTTATTTTATATGACGTGAAAGATGGTGCTTCAGTTGCTCTTAAGCTTTTTGATCTGAGGACTCATACATTCTTACAAATTGTTGGGGACCCCATAGTGCTTTTGTTTATATGGGCTACAGCTAGAGGTATTTACTATATTACAAATTAAATCCAAGAAGATAAAAACATATTTATTAATTCATTTAAAAATAAGAATAATAAGCCCATTAAATATTAATGTAATTTTTTTGTGAAAATAATTCTGTTTTTCAAAACAAACCTGAAAGTTAGTGAGAAGAGTGGTGGTGTTGCATTTTTGCATACCTCTTGAATGTCTGGCTTGGTAGAAGCTGGCATGTCCACATGTCCGGATGCAGTCTGTTGCAATGTCATGCATCATGTCGCATCTGGAAGACTCTGCTGTATACCTCTGAGAGGGTGAGAGTGAAAAAGGCAAATAATAGTTTAGTTTTATTACAAAAGAGTTTTTACCTCTTGGACCTCTGCAAAGGGTCACAGTTACCTCCAAGGGTCCCCAAATCACAGTTTGAGAACTTTCCCCTTTTATTTCCAACCTCCTCACTTCACCTTGGATGAGTCCTTTAACTTTTTTTGCCTGAATTTCTTCATCTTGAAAATGGAATAACAGTACATATCTCCCTGGGGATCCAGTGACAATTCCTGTGACGCACTCAGAGCCATGCCTGTGCCGAGAAAGCTCAGTAATCAGTAGTATGATTGTTAAATACAGTTAATTATGACTGTTTTTGATCTGTGATATTGTTCATATATAGGATTGCATTTTATGCTACTTCCTTGGTCAGAAACCCACCCCCTACTTAAAATCTTCTTGTTATGGAAAAATAAGGCACAGGGGTGAGATGTATTAAAAACTCACATATGGCTGTTTTCTTTTTTGAAAAGGATTTCTCTCTCCCTACATTCTAAGTTCCATTAAATAGTTTTTCATATTAATAATCCCTTTGTGAGCGTGTCCCCCACTCCCCAAGATGAAATATGTCCCTATATGACAATTCCACAGATCTAGATCTCATTTGCTATTTACTAGCATCATTGAATTGAATTCCTGAAAAATCCAAGAAGACTGCTTTCAACCACTGTAATCATCCCTTAGGGACCATCAACCTTCAGCGCTTCTTTCATTTGTAACCATTTTGCATGTTGATCTACTTGTCATAGTAGTGTGAATTAAAACAGCCAATCAAGAACATGGAATGTTGACTTTTCCCCCCATGTTCAAATTGCATGATTCTCTCTTAATTCAGGATGCATGGCATTCATATTCTGTTGCATTTCACCCCGTGAGTTAAAATAAAATAACTTCCCATCACTTAAGCAACAGATGTACTCTGCGTGCAA